CCCCAAAACCCCAAAACCCCAAAACCCCAACTATGAGATTTTTTTGAAGATATGAAAATCATTATTTGAAAGCATCAATAAAATAAATAATATTTGTGAGTTATCAACAGCCAAAATTGAATTAAATTTGTGGAATTTGAAAATGTTTTAGATGCAATAAATTTAAAATCCACTGGCAAAGATTTTGAGAGAAATTATTCAAAAATGCAAAGTTTTATGAATATGATACAACATTTTTGCTAGAGTTTTATCAGATAGTGCTCAATTTTGAAATTTATATTACTAAAATTTTTTTGAAAAAATTCAAACTTACAATGATTCCCAGATTTAAATTAAGATTTGAAAAAAATGCAAGTCCTTCATTGAATTAAGTTAAAGCAACAAAATTGTGATCAATAAATTCTAAAATTTATTGCGATTATTTTCATTATGGAGATTTAGTATTCCTTCACTGAGAGCATGATTTATTTTGATTTGAAATTTATTCTTCTGCAGTGGCAAGTTTATATAAGGAAGATAAATTAGAGGAGAATTAATAATTTAAATTTATGAGATCTTTCGCTATCACTGCCTTATTATTAGCAGTGAGTTAAGCAGCTTCTATAAACAATCTTATCACTCATTAAAGAGCTTAATCTCTCTGGAGACAAGAAGCAACTAACAAGTTTAGCTGGAATTCTACTCAAAAACTAGAGTGGAATGTGGTAAATGCATTCATTGATGTTCAAACCTCTCCAGATGGAGATGTCTTTGCAATTTAAAAGATAGATTAAGTCTTGGCAGATCCAAAGTATTTCATTTACTAATATGACATTTCAAAAAATGTTTGGAGTATCTACAGCTCAACATTCTAAGCAAAGGCTGTCAGATTTGACAGAAATGCTAACATGTACTTTTTGAGTCCTAATAATTGCATTCAAAATTCTTCAAGAATTGATGTTCTCTGTGGTGTCTCAGATTTTGAAGTTGCAACTAACAACACAATTTGGGGTATCAATGATGGCAGTGGAAGACTTTCTGGAGACAGACCATCAAGCCCCTTCCATGATGTCCCTTTTAGACCCACACTTAAATACAAAGCTTACAGTGGTTACAAAGGTCTGACATTGATTAGAGATGAGCCAATATTCATTGATTCTAAGTACTTTGTTCCTTATGAATATGCTCATGAAAAACTTGTCTCAATAAGTGCTGGTGTTGATGGCTCACTTTGGGGTTTACTCTATGATGAAACTGCCACAGATAATGTACTTGTTAAATGGTAGACTCTAACCCAGAAGTGGTATAAAGTTGGAGGAGCTGTTGGCAAAAGTCTTTCTGCTTACAATGAAATCTCAGTAGCTCTAGTTGACTCTAAAGGACTTCTTAGTCTTTCATCTCAAACTGGACGCTAAGAAGATGCTGATTATACTGCTGCTGTAGTATCAGCTCCACCACCTCCAAGATCTTTACCTCCAACTTTCGTGTCATATGCTGACTTAGAATTTATGAGATCTTAGATAAAAATTGAATTAGGAACTGATTTTTCAAAGTTTAATTACATTTTTGGATTAAGTACTGGAGAAATCAATGATTATACCGAGATAGCTGACGCTATTGCCGGAAAAAGTAATCTTTTAATGATAGTTAAAACAGAATTTAATAAAAACAGCGCATACTTTTTGCCAGCAGGCATAGATAATGATTATAATAGCTAAAGTGTATCTAACATTGTATTTTCGTTGTCAGGAAATAAAAGACCCTTCAAACAATTATCAAATTCAAATGTATGGTAATAAGCATCCTTTAGTGGTGGGTATTTTTCCATCTAAAATTCTCAAGTTGAGGCCAATATCGATATTAGATGCAATAATGTTAAGATATCAGTTATTGAAGAATCAGTAACAAATTCAGTATTATCAGGAACAAATGGATCAGATTCTAATTGCAAATCAATCTTGTTCTATTATGGATCTTGAAAATGCAAACTCTAAACAATAATTCAACTTTTAACTTTGATAATGAAAATCAGAGTTGAATTAAGCTAAAATTAATTTTTAATAAGGAATAAAGTAAACTCATTTAATATCTTGCATTTTGTGTGCTATTTTTTAATCATGGGGTTTTGGGGTTTTGGGGAGATCGGAAGAGCGTATA